GGAACCTAATGAGTATAATAAGATATCTCTACACAAACTTTAAAAAGGTATTTTTCGATACACAGACTTGTCAATGTCAAGGTAGGGATGTAATCGAACCGAACTGCTCGCGAGCTACGGTAAAAAACTTGACTCGAACTCGGGTTGACCGAGTTCGAGTCGAGTTCGAGCGCCTCGATAAGCTAAACGAGTCGAGTTCGAGCATCCAGAAGCATTGCTCGAAGGCTCGTCGAGCCTTATCGAGCTTTTTAATTTTAATTATTTAATATATTATTATTATTATAAAATTACCCTTATAACCAAAAGAGTTGTTGAATTTACGAAATGTTTCAAGTCATATAAAATTTTTTAAAGGGTAATAATGTCTTTCGCACAAAAATTGTCAAGAAAATGAAAATTTCTAACTCGAGCTAGATAAGGCTCGTATTGACTCGAGCTCATGGGAGTCGAGCTCGAGTTCTGCGAGCAAGCATCGAGCTCAAGCTCGAGCACTCTTCTTGCATGTCGAATCGAGCTCGAGTATGGCGACTCGATTACATTCCTATGTCAAGTCCTTCTAAAAATTGTTTAAGAACTTGATTTGTCCATTACGTGATAGATTAATACCACAAAGACTTTGCATTGAGTAGAGTATAAGAATGAGTTTCTGTTTTTGTTGTATAAAAATTAGATCAGTTGTCTTCTTGGTGAATTATTATTTGAGAGGGACAGAGGATACAAAGCCGAAATTTCCTTCTTTTACTAAAGAATATATATATATATATATATATTCCTATACAAATAATATTTGTTTCTGGAGAAGGAACAAATATTCCCCAAATAAATATATAATTAACAGTTGTAAAACACTACAGGATATTTTAATTCGTGCAAATAGATGAGTTAAAAACCTCTATGTTATATTTGTGTTTGCAGCTTTTTGGGTAGGGAAAAAAATTGTTTCTTAAGCAGAGAAAAATTAATGATGCCATATTAGTAAAAGTTAATTCAATATAGTTTGTCTTTATTTTATATTGTCTACAATCAGAATATTTATTTTACTTTTAGCTTTTGACTTTTTCATTTGTTGACTTGAAGTTCTTTCTGCTGTGAAGTTATTTGTTGAAATAGATATGAAAATCAAATATTTACAATATTTGAAAGTTTTTATTGAAAAATATTATTTCAATGTGATGTATATGAACTAAAAAATAAAAAAATAATAGCAAAAAAAGACCCATTATGTTTTTTTAAAAAATGCAATAAGTAACTTCTAAATTTTCGTTTTAATTCTCCGTAAACAGGAGGGTTTGCACAATTTCCCTTTTGGAAAGCTTTTGCTGATTGTTGTAGTAAGAAATGAAATAAAAGAAGGAAATTATTTTTCCTCCAAAAACACCTTTTATTTGGATGTTTTCTCTTTTTTTTTTTCAAATAGATTATATTCGTTTTGTAATTTTCCCACCTAGTCTAACCAAAGGATTTATCACAAGCTTTGAAATTGTAAAATGCTACATTCATTTCACAAGAAGCGTAATTACAAAATACAAAGCATCAATCCAGTTTGACATAAAAGAATTAAATACTATATAAATTTGAAAATTAAGACACATTTCTCTTGGTCAATAACTTAATTCCATATTAGTTAACGTCTATGGCGGACGGAGTCGTTATCATGCTTCATCAGCCTAAGAGAAAGTTCACGTAGGTTTCCTGAGACACAATTATATCCCATTCGTAAATGTCAATTGTTCTAAAAGCTTTTAGGAAAGAAAACAAACCTACTTCCTTTCGTTCTTTTCTGCGTCTTTATGATATGATAACACCACTTCACCTATAATTTCTATTGTAGACAACGCCTTAATGACACAAAGGAAAAAAATACTTATCATGCTGCACTAAACTAGGATTAGCACAAGTAGCACGACAATTACTGATTTCTGAAACATGACAATCTCTTGTGACTATTGATCGACTGTGGATTAACGCGTTTTATGTTAGACAAAAGAACTTTTGGACAGAGGATTATTTGGAGAAAAAAAATATTTTTTTTTTGGAGAAACATCATAACACTGTACCACTTTTGTAATGTGATGTGTCTGAAATAAACGAGTGGTCGGAAAGTTGAAAAAGCAGATTGAAAAGCGTTGCTTTGTTTGGATTGTGATTTTCTGCAAAAAAAATCTTTTATGTTTTTCATAAATATGTTTCTCAATTACATTTTTATCTCACATATATAAAATCGCTACGGTAATATAGTTTTACAAAAACTTCCAAAAATAGCATCCAAAGGGAATTTGTGTTATCGTTGCACTTAAAACAAAAATTGAATTTTAATGACTCTGAATTATAGTATATGCATAATAGAAGATTCCTAGGCAAACAACTTCTTCCAATCTAACCTTAGATCTCGGAAATTAAGTGGCGTATTTGACTAACATTTTCGTAGCTGGTTGGGGTCCAAACTCTGAAACCCTTCAAAAATTTCAACTTTCATTGTGTGTAATTTAAGGAACTAATTATACATCTTCACTTCATCATTGTCTATACATGGAATAGATTAAATATATATTTAGCTGAGATTGTAATCTGCTCATGGAAATTGTTTTTTTTTTTTTTTTTGGTCAAAGTAGAATGAAAGGGGAATTATTTCCTTGTACAAGGTTTGTATCTAGTGCCTCTACCATTATTAATTAAAAGGGGAGTGGGATTAGGGGCTCTAATAGTATTGGATGGATAAAATTTTTGCATATTGTTATTTTAATATGTACATGTATTGTATTAGTATCTACATTTATAGTTTCACCGTTTACATTGTATCGTACAATTGAGACAGGTGATTCTAGAAGTCCGGGTTCTTTCAGCTATGTTTTAACCAGAGGAATGTTTCGGCGTGTGCAGGAGGGAATTTTGGAATTGAAGTTTTTGGATTCCCTTGTACCTCATATCAACTGTCTTTTTGTTAAATTGTCGATTTGCCACAAAACATTTTAGGACAGAAAAAGACTGGAAAAATTGAAAGAAGACTGAGAGGCTAAAAGGCTTGTTTGATGGAGAGACTTGTAGTGCAGAGAAGAGAGAGCAATTCGCTGAACTAATGCGTTAATTCTTTTTTTTTTTTTTGGGGGCATACCAAGATTGTTTTGAGTGCGTACAGCTATTGTCGCGCTCACTCTTGAACTTAGAAATAAGACTAAAATATAGAACAATTTTGATATTTTTTTAACAAAGAACAATAAAAATAGAGAGAGAGAGAGAGAGAGAGACGCCAATGTTTTGAAACTGAATTGCATCCGATCAAACTGCAAATCGGTCATGCTTTCGATCTGATTCAATTGTTAAGCTAAAATTCAATTGAATTGATAAATAACTGGTTGAACTAGTAAAAATCAAAAGGTTCAATTGAATTTCACTATTTTTTTTATTTTCTAAAACAAATATTTTAATTTTATTCAAATTTTTTTAGTACTAAAATAAATAAAAAATTTATTAAACCTTTGAACTGAAGTTGAACCGATTGAACTGATTGAACCACAAATCAGAAGCTCTTCCAATTCACTTTTTGGTTCAAGTTCAAAAACATTGATAGAAGCATGTATGGTTAAAATTTTTGAACAGTTGTACGATTGTTCTATTTTCTGACATAATCTCTCATGTCATCATATAACTTTGTTATAGGCAAAAATTTTGGTTGTGTTTGGATTGCATTTTTTAGGATTTTTTGTAGAAAGATTACTGTAGCGATTTGATGTATGTGAGAAAAAAAGGTAATAGGGAAATGTGATCACGGAAAACGACACAATTTTCTGACGGAAAATGGCTGTCCAAACAAGGCCTATTTGCTCATACTCATTCAATGTATAAATACAACTTGACATGTAAGTGTATTCAATATATCGAAAGAAGTACAATAATTATATACAACCATACCAGATCATAAAAGAACAATAAAAGAAAGGGACCAAAATGGGAATTTGGTAAGAGGTGATGGATGATTGATGGGTCCACTGTTAGTATAGGAAAGTGTTTTACCAAAATTAGGAATCGTTACCTGACGTTGGATTCCAGGTCTTTCCAAAATAAGAGAACTACTTTCGAGAGTTCAGTTGTGAAAGAGAAAAGTTAAGGTGTGGGGTTCAAGCACTTCACTACACTGGTAAATTTTGGTCACAAGTTTAATGTTCATTTTGTTAGTGTACAAATTTTTTTACTACCGAGTTTAGATCACATCACATAATATGATTTTCAATTTGAAATTCAAATCATATACATATGACATACATTCATAACTATTAGTATAAAATCATTTAACTTTTAAGGCAAAAGATGAATTAGCTCTTTTTAGATAAGAAAAAGACGAGTTAGCTTAATTAAATAAGTAATATGCAATTAATTCACATAAAAATTGAATATTAAGCGTACAAAACACATCAAAAACCAAATAAATTCCAAACATATGGGGGAAAAGCTATTGAATGGCATTCTCAACTCACACGATTGCATTTCTTAAGAATAAAAGAAGCAAATGAAGAAAAGAAGTAAAATTAACACACAAAAAAAATCCTATCTCCCATGTACGGCTCACTTGAACTTGAAAGGGAAAAGTTAATTAGCGCTTCATTAAACCAAAAAAAAAAACTAAAGGCTAATTAAGCTAATAATTGAGTTTTCTACTATAGTATAGACATAATTTGAAACTTCTAAAATAAATTTATGGGGTCAATTTGAAAAATTTAGAAAACCAGGTGATACAATAAAATCAAGAGAAAGTGGAGGGACTAAGTTGAAATCTCTGAAAATCTATTTCTTCTTCATTTGACAGAACCTGCTTTGCTCGACAATGAAGAATGGTTGATCATTGTTGCTAAAGGGGGTCATGATGATAGGACTGTTCAAGAAAGTGATGAACCTGAAGTTGGAGGGATGATGAGGAAGCCTTGTGTGTTCATAATAGGGATGATGATAATTTTCAGCAGCAGGAAAAAGTTTCTTTATGATCCAAGAATCACAAGAGGAAAAACTGTAATCAAAGCAAATACCAAGAAAGATAGATAGCACAAGGACCTAATGAACTCAGCATTCACATTTACATTTGCTTCTGAGATCAAAAGATCAGAAAGCTTGAAGAGATGATTCAATGGTAGCTTTATAGCTACATTATTTACAAGAATTGCTAATTAAAAATAGCAACTTCTGATATAAATGCAACTCATAGGATCACAAAGAAGATGATACAGAAAAGATGGCTCGCTTGCTGGGAATATTAGCAGATAAATGAACTCTTCTTGGAAACTGCAGAAACTGATTGAGCTTCCATGATCTGATACCTAAACCTGATGAAAGTAGTGTATCAATGGCACAAGGCTGATGAAGAGTTTATAGTTGCAAATAACTTGTGCAATTATCTGAAGCCAACGTATATACAAATTAGACTCGTCCAAGATTTTCTACATTCAGGAAAATGAAGCACTCAATCTCAAGTTGCATAACCAACTAATTCAAGGGAGAATTCGATGCAAAGTATGCGCCAGAGTTTGATTTGTCAAGGCCCTGAAGATTTCTAAGAAAGGAAAATGCATGTATGAAAATTATGTAAAAATGAAAAAAGACAAAGCATGTTATAAAACTTGATTTCCAAGCTGTTTCATTTCAAAGATATTGGTCTTTGGCTAAATCTTAACTCTTGGATAAAAATGGTAATGATACCACCATTTCATTTTCAAATCTTACACATCATCACATGAATAATCAAAATTCTCAGAATTTCGGTCATAACAATCAAAGTTAGAAGCTGCACCTCTCAAGCTAGATCAACTCAAACAGACAATTAACAAGGAGTAAGAGAATCGCCTACTCTAGAACATATCTATATGGAGGTTGTATTGCCGTCACCTTCATAACATCCGGTCTAGGCACCAAGATACACCCTTAAAAACAGAAATAAAACCCTTAAAATTGAAACACTAATTTTAAAGGGGATAAAGCATGCGAAGGTTAAGCTGGATTTAGTTGCATTTTTCCCCCTAAAATCTGAATAAATTTACTGGCACAAATATACACCTTGCACCAGCCACTAGACTGAACTCGTCACCCCAGACAAAGAAACTTTGTCATTCTTTGAAACCCAGAGTCACGCACCCATGGTACTTTTCCTACTCTATTGCAAGAACCTGATCAGACTATTAGTGTAGCTATACATAAGCAATGACACAAGTCCATCTTTGACAATAGTACCAATTATAGTTTTTTGTAATTACTTTGTCAATTTACCAAGCAAAAGAAAGAAACTAAGATATCATTGCACAGACAAAAGGTGAAATGCCGAAAAGTGTCAACAAACCTGCCTCCTCCTTCGACATTGTGCAATGTACCATGAGCAGGCCATCACGTAACAAGGAAGGAGAAAACCAGCAAGCTGAAGCAGTAAAATTTGGTACTGAAATTTAAAAAGCAAATGAGTCCATAGATCTAAACAATTAATTAGAGAAGAAAACCGGTTGCACTACACAAAGTATACACAGCAGATGTTCTATTACATGTGTTAAGGAATTATTTGTATGACAGATCTCCGCTGATAGGTCTACATATCATTGACATGTACCAGAAGTGTAACTAGTTCTTTCCTACAATTTAATTTCTCTAGGGAAGCAAAAACATATGTATCCAAACACAGGTAAACACTGAAGCAAGTTTTTGATACCACAAACCCATTAAGAGAGAGGTGATAGGAACATTACAACCAAATTTGGCATCTCTTTACCAACTATATTTCTTTCCCAAACTTGTTTTTCCGTTTAACAGGCCAATGCACTCCAACAAACACAACCATATACAACTTGCACATACTCGATAGAAGGTAGAAGACTCTTGGACCATCCCAAAATCCCTTGTCACCAGCAATGTATGTCTTATCAGCAAGAGAAGCATAACCTGCAAGTTGGAAAACCCACTAGTCCAATGACAGATGCAGAGCAGATACTGAAATTCGAAATGTTAGATTTCATTCAGCTTACCACAATAACCACTGAGTGGAAACAGGCGAGGGTGCTACTATTTGTATTAGCGTAATACTCATAGTCAGACTGAAGGAATTGCTGTTCAGCTGCCGCAAAAGCCAGAAAATGAGGATCCTGAAGATTAAAGTTTGAACCCCATGCTTCCCTGAAGAAATGATAAGCAATAGATGTGATCATATTAAATCCATAATCCACCACAAGATAAGACTAAACAGATTCTATCTCCACAAAAGAAGTAGGAAGCAGAACCTCTATGAGAGTTATCTGACTATATCCACAAAGAAAGCAGGAAGCAGACTTTCGAGGCATAATCTACAACCACATTAATCTCACAGCGTTTAGAGAACCTGATAAAATAGGATTAGTGACCTAGTGACAGTTAGCTCTATGTGAGGCTCCTAAATTGCTGCTTCAACTTTGAGCCTTCGGGCACATTAGGAGATTTCATTTAACCACAAAACCAAAAGTAAAAAATTCAATCAACTGCCTAAATCCTGTAGTTTGACACAGTATTCTGCAAAAACACATCCTAAAGACGGAATTTCCAAATTCTGTGCTATAAATAAACACTGTTGTATCAAATTGACCATAACTGATGCTCTGTACACAAAAGAAGCATGTGCCAAGGTAGAATTAATCATCAACAAGTTCAAAACTTGCTTGATTCTTACCTTCCATGGCTTCCATCAAATAATAAATATCAACTCAGTATAATACCAGACTGATGAGGGATTTTTTTTTTTTTTTTTTTACCTTCCCACCCCTCCCCACACCCTTCCCACCACCAACTGTTAGGCATAGGATTCGAACCCTGATTTGACAGCGGGGAAGACCCTAAGAATCTAGATTAATGCTACTCGATTAAAAAACATTTTTATCTTCTTCCACATCACAGATTAATGCTGAAAAACAAGTTTTGCATAAATGAAAATTGAAACTATTGCATTCTATGCAATTGAGCAGAGTATTGCAGCTCTAGCACCCAGATGTAACAAGCAGTGATCAAATTAGATATAACTCCTATATTGCTGTGCTTCAGTACCTCTATGGACTTCTCATATCTACAGATAAAAGACTATATGAACAATCTGAGCAAAGAAAATAAGATGGTCTCAAGAGCAATGCTAAGAGCAGCTGCTACTCATCTTTACAATCCACGGTCGCTTTTTTTCCTCCACTCCAAGCCATAACACAAGCTTTCTGATGCAAATTAAACCCTTTGGAACATCAAGAGGGCAAAGTGTATTTTCTCCATCATGCCATATTAGGAAAACTATTAAATAAATTACAGATCCAGAACCACTATAGAATTTATAACATTTCTCAAGGCCAAGGGTATAATTGAGACCTTTATTTCTAGCATGGTTTTGTAGAATAGCTATCCTAGAAGGATGTTTCAAAGCTGAAAAATTAAGATTTAAATCATATGTATCACAGTCACTCATTCAGTTTACATTTAGGAATTCCACCAATCAGTAGGCAAGATAGACTAGAAGTTACCTGATATCAATTGCCACAACATCAGCATGTTTTGGTGGACTGATATAATCTGGCGAAAACATCTGCACAAAGAGAATCAAGTAAGCACTTTAAATGAAGCATAAAAATATTTATGCATTCCAAACCAAGAGAAGGAAAGGAGCTGACCTGATTACAGATTTCACATCTGATATCACCTTTCTTGTTGCACCATCTCTGAATGCACTTCCTGTGAGCAAACTATGCTCCAGAAAAATATTGAGGCAATCTATTTCAGTTTATCTTTTACAGGGTCTTCAGAAAGTAATCATCTAAGGAAGAAAATGAAAAGAAAGTCCGTTTGAAATGACACAAACTTTCATTAGTAAGACTACATTTTTTAATAAAGGTCCCTAATGCTTAAATAGCAAAAACCAGGACAAAAAGCACAAAAAATCTGCCACTTCAACAATGTACAGTCAACTTTCAACACCCATCCAGCAATTTGAATTGAATACATTTTTTATTTTATTTTATTTTGGTAATCAAATCCAATGCCAATATCAGTTATCCAGAATGAGCTTTATGTAATATTTTCAATGATTTCATGAAACAGGTTTCAGACACAACCATAAGCCCCTTTAGAATGAAAATTCTCTATCTCTAACCATAAACCAAGGAAAAGAGAAAAAGTAGGAGATATTGAAATCCAATGTGTTATCCGGACACAAAAATAAGCAACAGATGCAAAAGATCATAATTACTAAGCACATGTTAGCCCAAAGTCTATCAACATACAAAGAAATAATTCACGGATATCACATAGATACCTTTACAAGAGTACATAGTATAAATGCACTTTGTATGTGAATGGTTCAATCCAGCATCAATAAACGCACGAAATAAATAAATGAAAATAGATTTGCAGCAAAACCACTTAGTCATTGAGGAGTTCCAAGATATAACAGAACCAAAGATACCACATTCCAACCACTACCTACTCCTCCCTCCACCACTTAATCCTTCAAAAAAGGGGAAGAAAAAACACCATAAAAATATAATCTTGACCTAAAACTACTTCCAAATTTAAAGTGAAATAATAATCCTTGACACAATGGTAGATCACAAGGAAAATGTGGACAAGGAGATAAATTTTTGACACAAAAAATGTAATCTGTAACAAATGCTACAAGCATAGAACAAATTAAAGAGAGAAAAGTCCAGAAAAATGTAAATCACCTTGAGGGTGCCATTACAAGCACAAGGAGATTCCATGTCTTGTTCTTCATCTTCTTCTTGACAAATTCTGCACTCCCTCAAGAAACCATCTTTTTCATTTCCAAATTCACCATTACTTTTTTCACTTTCTTGGGTCTTTAAACCCTCCATTACTCCATTAATATCTTGTACTCTTTCACTATTAGAAACCTCAGTTACAGGGGAATCAAAGCAAGCTGCTGCAGCAGATGATGCTGATGATGAAGCTATTAATCTATCAACACAAATCATGAATTCTTCCACCATTTCTATCGCTCTTTTTTCTTCTCTTTCCTCTGCCCTTCCTCTAGTAATTAAAGAGGTTGACCTGAGGATACAATGCAAAATCCAAACAAGGCCAGAGTATAGGATAGCATATTAGTTGGAGTAGTTCCCTTTGCATTCTCTTTTTCGTTTTTCCTTTTGGGCTTTTAGCGGGGATTAAGGGAGTAAAAGGCAGCTGTAGTCAAGTAGTGGACCAAGTGGGGCGGAAATTACGAAATGGTGAACTGGGGTGAGGTGAAAAGACCAAATTGACATTGGTTGGTGGATGAATTACTTGGAGAATCCAAGAATTATCTTCTGTCACTATGGTATAAGGACAGCTGATCAGGGCAGGGAGGGAAAAAACGGTGCTCCTATTCTATAATCAAGATATGTCACCTTGCAACATGCAACGTGGTAAGGGAAGAGGCAAGACCACAAAAAAATTGAGTAAAATTGAGTTCATCCAACCATTAGGGATTTGTTTGATCAAAGATCGAGTTTGAGATTGTGCTGATTGAGTTGAAAACTAGTTTTAGCATATCAAATAGTTTGATTGGTTCGAACTCGAATCTTTATACATGAGTGAGACGAAATTGTATTTCATTTATTATCTATATCTATATCTATACTATACTTGAAATGTTTATATCTATAGTATATATGAAGGGAGGGTAGAGGCTGACGAAATTGTATTTTACTTATTATCTATATGTATAGATATACTATATATAAAGGGAGAAGAGAGGGTTTGGTATAAATATTTTATGTCACTTTATGTACTTCTCTTTTTGTCCTTATAAAAGTTAATTTTACATTAATTTTCCAAACACATGTTGTCAAGATAATTACTTATAAACATTTTTTAATTTACTGTTTACAAATATTTTTTTTTCAATGTAACTACCCCTGAGTAGCAAGTACCAACATAATAATCATTTTGTCAAAATAATTAGGAAGATTAAAATTTTCTTTAGCAATAAAATATATATGTAAAATTTATTCACTATAAATATTATGCATTTCTTTATCGCACACATATCGAATATGTGTTTATCACTAGTATCAATTGTGTTAAGGTAGCAATTGGGCGAGTTAGGTTATTATTAAGTAGGTTGATAATGAGTTTTAATTAAATGAGTTATAACTCAATTTGCAACTAATATCTTAGAATATAGCCCAAAAAAATGCACAAATACAGTTCTGATAGTGTTGGTTTCTATATCTATGCCTACCATGTTAACTATGGATGGCAGGCCAACAACATTTAAAAAAAAATAAAAATTAAAGTGTTGTTGTGCTGAGTTAGCATGATAGCAAGTGGAACCCCTTCTTCATTGATATCTGAATTTCTTTAATTTTGAACAATGGACTGTTGATGATACGGGGGGATAATGTGCTTGGCAATCATGTCCCCGCTCAACCCACTATGGTTATTGATGTTGCTCACATGGAGACATGTATGTTCATTGGCAAGTGTGACAAAAACTTTCACATTTTATGGAAACTGTGCATAATTGCTCAAAGCTGCTATTGCACAGTGGTATGTAGTTGTGGACCCTACATTAGACATATCAAACTATTGGAGTGTTCTCGTGGACTTAGAACTCCCTACCCTCCTTTTATGAAGCACAACTTCATTGGTCGCTTTACATGTTCTTTGGTCTCAAATAGCTACCCCAACTCCAACTCCTTCGTGCATTCATTCCACAACTTAAGCTTTTCAATGTCTCCTGCATCTAAAGGGTCACACTATAACGCAGCATCAATACCAACTTTAGAATTCAATCGTGGTGCTATATCAGTTGTTTAAATTGGACTAGGACCCATGTGTTGGCGGGTCGTAATTGGAATGCTTGGGTTACCTTCCTAGTTAGATGCATCAAAATAGTGGTCATCATCACTACAATCATCAACATCTGCTTCTGATTCAGAGTCCATATTAACATCTACAAAATCAACATCATTAGATGGAAGGGGGTCAAACAATATAGCAGCTTCCATATCTGAAGCATGAGCCTCAAGTGTTGACTTGTGCATTGCCGCCCAACTACTGCTACTTGGACAGTCCATATCCATTCGGTGGCCATTGCCTCTCGTCGTCCTCTCCAAACCAGTTGGACATCTCCAAGCCACTAGTGCCTTGATCAAAGATGCGGGCTTCCAATTTGCAGCATTTGAGTATCATTTTGTCTCAAACCTAAGAGCTCTTCCATCTCCACATAAATTTCGATGGCATGTCCACTACCAACTTTTAAGAAGTACATTCTAACAACTCCATTATTGTCCACCAAACATACGATGTTGGGGGAAATTCTAGAATATCAAACTAATCTTGTGGCTATTCTGGTTTAAACCCATAATCTTGTATATTCTGTCTACCAACTCATCAAACCATATCTGTAAGCAACAAAACCTTTTTGGGCATAGGTGAGTCATATAACATTGACCCTCTAACATATATAATTTTTCCTCTCTAATAAAGTTGAATCACCAGGGAATTATATGGCTCGACATTTTCCACCTAATATAAATGGGCATTAATGATATGTTAAAACTATATTAATTGCACATTCTTAAGTGGTTAATTACATTAATGACATGTATTTAAATTATTAGATACGTTAACTACACATAATTAAAGTATTATTAACTAGATTAATTAGTTACAGATTCTTGAACTATTAACTACATTGATTACACCCATAAAATAAACCTAATTAATTAGTTTATTCATTTTAAAACTACATCTATTTACTCCTACATTAATTTGTTCTTACTCCTATATTCCACATTCTACCAAGTAAATACCTATACTAATTACATGTATTTGAATTATTAACTACGTTAATTATTTCACTTATTAGAATTATTACACGTAATTACTTTTCTTAATAACAAGTCAAGACTACATTAATTACACCTAAATTAATTTATTCATAATCCCGATTTAGCCCATTAAATTAGTGACTAAATAATCTAAGTAGTCTAACTAATCGAACTAATCACATAGCCCATTAATTTACATGATTGGACTAACTAAATTAGTGTAGTATAAATCAATATTAAATAAATAACATAATAATATAAACTAAATTTTTTGTCTACAACCAGTTTTACAATAGATAAATAAGACAATAATTTGATAATATAATATAACAACACAAAAAAATAAAATGGCTATTTCCTTCAAATAAACGATTAATAAATAAACAATAATTAAAGGAATAAGAAATAAATAAGTATTCAATAAAGTATCTATCTTAAATAAAGTTCATATAAACAACAATTAAAAGAATAAACATGATTATCGGATCAAACGGGTGCACTACACATTCACCTGAATGTTTTGAAGCAAATCCACATTTTAAAGTGGCAATTGGTGGGAGGCAAGGTTTGAACCCTTTTCTCCCGCCCCACCAAGCCAAACCTTGCCCGCCCCACCAAGCCTTAAAGGCTTGATGGTGGCTACCAGCCCGAAGGCTAGTGGTTAAGCATCTAGCTTTTCTCAGAGGAGAAGGATTTTAGAGAGAGAAAGTGTGTGTGAGAAAATATAATGCTTAGAAAGAGAGAGACAGATGAAAAAGAAATGGTGCGGATGATTTTTGCTTTGGAAGTCTGCTTTAATAGAAGAGGATTTGACCTTGTTGATCCTGCCGTTGATCTCAATAGCTAGATCAACCATGGTTCTTTTTTTTTCCCCCAAAAAATCCAAGGACGTTAGGGTTCAAACTTAAAAAAAAAAAAAGAAAGAAAAGAATATGTTGTTTCACAAAAAGCCGCTAGGGTTGTACTTAAAAAAAAAAAAAAAAAAAAAAAACACTCCTAGTGCTATGTGCTGATTCAGTATGACAGCTCTTTCATTTAAAAAAAAAAATTGCTTTTGGCCTACCGTGCATAGTTAGCATGGTATGTATAGATATAGAAACCATCTTTATCAAGCCCGTATTTGTGTGATTTTTTTGACCTATATTATAAGGAATTACTCTCAATCCACCCAATTGTTGAATGGATTAACTTTGGAGTTGAGTCTACTTAGGTCAACTCAAACCTATAGATTAAACTATGACCCAAGATTTATACAATATATAAAAGTAGAACATCATTATGTCGTGTAAATTTATCACTTTTTAAATTTTATAATCTTCCCTTAATGACAAGGGTAAATTTGTCCCATTCTATTAGAAAAAAAAAATTCCCCACAATAAGTAGAGAGCTATGCAAATGAGCAGTAGTTATTTGTTGAAATTATCCATTTTTTACATTAACTCCCAACTCCCGTTTAATCTGCTCAACTTCTATCATCTTTCTGTTTAATTATCTAACATTATAAAAGAATTTGACCCATGCAAAAATATTATAAAGAGATAACTTTGATAAATATATATATTTTTATTAACTGCACACATGTTAGGGTGTGCTTTGAGCACTAGTATTTTATAATGTAGTTCTAAACATTTACTCTTTTGTATCTATTACACACATTTGCATACATTTTTACCTAGAAAAATACTAGTAAACTATTTTTTTTTCCACATTTTCTCTCACACAGAAACAAGTAAACTATATATACATTTTTTTTACATACTTTCACATGGAAATATACTTGCACTCGTACATTTTCACACTCACACACATACATTGATACACATTCCACACACACACACACTCTCTCTCACATACACATTCCATTATCTCTCTCTCTCTCGCTCATGCATTTCATTAAACTTGGGTCAATGTGTTATTTTCATTAGAAGAATAATGAGGTATATTTGATTATTTGGTCACCATAGGACTGGTTTCCAATCAAGTAAGATTTGTGCCTTATTGGTCTACAATAACTGAGACTATTTTAAAATATCATATGGGAATATTATAACCTTTCTTTAAATTGTTTAAATGTAAATGCTTGCAAAGAATTTTTTTTTGTTTTGAAAAAATTGGAGTGGAAATCCAATCAATTGAAAAAGTGTAGGAAATAACTCACTTAGAATAAATAAATAAATCCATGGAGTAGATAAGGTAGCTTGACAGTTGGGACAAGAAATCAGCGGAAACAAAGAGGCAAAAAAATGAAGTTGCAAGACAAGGGAGGCAGCAATCATTTTTGTTTCTGGTCAGTTTTGTTTCTTCAACTCTGACCAGAAACAAAACTACGGG